GTCGACATATTTGGGCCGAAAACTTCGTTTGGGCCTTCTAAAATTTGGGCCTATTATGACTGCGTGACGGTCTTTTACTTTTTTTTTTTTATTATTAATTTTGTAGTATTTATATATTTTTTAAATTTTGTTATCGATAACTTTTAAAAGTAAATGAATAAAAGAATTTAAAAACTTGTTTTTTTATTTATAAAAAAAATTAAAAACACGAGATTTTAATGTTTGTTATTGAATTAAAAAATAAGCTTATAAATAATTTTACTCACGAATTTCTCTGTTTTACTATTCACTTTTTAAAATATGTTGAAATCTATTTACTTTTTAAAAAAATTATACAATTTTTTTAAAAAAATTTAGAAAAAAAAAATGAAATGAAAATCAAGAAACAAAAATAGTAATTTTGGAAAGTCCTCAACGAGCACAGTGAAAATAAAAATAAAATAAAATAAAAAACAAAAAACGTGTCAACAAAATGCTAAAAAGTAAAATAATAAATAAATAAACGATAAAAAAAAACGTGAGAGAAATATACTTTTTTACTTCTTTTTAATTAAAAATAAATAAAAAGAAACTTCTTTTTTTTTACTTTCAAGCGTTTAGTTTTACACAGAGTGCATTCAAACAAGAATGCCTGCACCAACCCACCCTAAAAAAGTATTAATATAAATAATAATAATAATAATAATAATTTCTACAAATAAATAAATAAATAAATAAAATTAATTAGGTGACCGTTCATGCTGACCACAATCATTAGCTTCCCTCTAGAAACATGGTATTTCCTGTGTAACTTCCAATAATTAATTAATTAATTAATTAATGTGGAGGGTAATTATAAAACGCAGCTTCATAAATTATTCTGGAACAGTAGGTTGGATTCTCTGAAGACAAATTATTTTATTTTCAATTTTTTAGAATTTGTTTTATTTCCATTTTTAATTTATAATTTTTTATAAATCATTTTATTTTCAAATTTTTAAATCCTCTAATAGGTAGGATCACTCTCATTTGTATATGCAATTAGATTATTCATGTGTACTCGTTCATCATAATAAAATGTTATTATTATTAAATTTTATTTTTCTTTTAAAAAATGCACCGATATTGGATGATGACTCTCACCTGTATAAGTTTTAAATATAAGACTTTTAGATAAAGAATTTCAACTTATTATAAGTTTTAAAAATGAAATTATTTGTAAATATATAAAATTAAATAATATTTTTAGGATTATTAGATGAATAAAAATGGTATTTAATCTATAAAATTTTAGTTTAAAATTGAAAAAAAAAAAGTGGGTCATTAATTTGGTAATGTGAAAGGGTCATTTTGGTAATTAAAATTTGGAAGTCAAAGGCAAAAGGGTTTTAAATGATAAGTGGTTGCCATTATTTCAAACTGAAACACCTTCCTAATTTTTTCTCTTCTGCGTGGTTGAGCATAAAGTCCAATATTTTATGCTGCCACCCTTTCAATTTCACATTTTCCATCAATACCCTTATTACTAGAATATTCCAAGGTATCAAACTATATACCAACAAAATAATTCTTCCAACGTCAGGGGTATAATCGTCATAATTCAATGAAATACCGACGTTTAACTAAATTTTTTGTCAATCTACAAGTTGTAAATACATCAAAAGTCCAAGAAATTAAATTTATATAAAAGAGAATTTAAATTATAAGTCGACTAATATTGACCCTCGAAATTAGTTGGTAGATCACTTAACATATATTTTTGAAAATATATAACAAGACAATTAAGGACGGTGGTCGGTTCTTTAAAGTACGTGAATTTAGTGTTTGTTTGGTAAAAAAACGTGCATAGAGAGAATAACTTGGAGAAATTAATGAACACAATGTTCGTAAAACAAATTAGTAGTACAATATCGATATATTTTTTTAAAATGTGGAAATATATAAGTTAGGAAAGACAAAAGCAATGAGAAAATTGTAAATTATTGTATGGAGAAAAATCAAGAATTTTGACTTTTTAATGTGATATATATTTTTCAATCGTATTAAGTCAATATGTCTTACTTAAATTTTTGTATTTATTCTCACAATTTAAATAAATAAATAATTAAAAAAATAAAAAACATATACTAAATAATTTAATATTTCATTTATAATTTAATTTTAAAATTTATAAATTTGGGGTTAAATTTGTAATTTCACCTTAAAAAACCTTATTTCGTCCAACATAATTTAATTTAAAGGCATAGAGATTGAATAATTGAGACTCGATGAGTAACCGTCAAAGTCAAAATTCCTTTTATTTTTATTATTTATTTATTTATTTATTTTTATAATAATTAAAATCCCTTTTATTCGTCTCCTTCTTCCCCGACCCGCCTGCTCCATTCTAGTATAAAATCCTTGTTCACACCCTCCATTTCTCCATGTCCATGGATCCATAGCTTCATCTTCAAAAACCCTAGCCTACTCGCCTCTGCAATTTTTCCTCATTTTCCTGCAGATCGGAAGAATGCTAGGCAAGAAAATGGTCTCCTTCAAGAAACTCGCCAAGAAAGTGAAGGTTCGGGTCGGGACGGAGGGTGAAGCATCGTACAACGAATGTTTGCTCAGAGATCAATTGGAACCACCGGAGGATCACGATTCTCAGTCGCCTTCGTCGACTCCGACTGGCTCGTTCGCGATTTACGTCGGCGATGAACGGCAGCGCTTCGTTGTGCCGACGAGCTTCTTGTCGCATCCGCTATTCAGGATGCTGCTCGATAAAGCGTACAGAGAGTTCGGATTCGAGCAGAGGAATGCGCTTATGGTTCCTTGTAGCGTCTCTGCTTTTCAAGAAATTGTGAGCGCGGTCGAATGCTGCAATGGCAGATTCGATTTCGGCGAGCTTGTTGAGGAGTTTTTGTAGAACAGACGAAATGCAGAGGAATATCCGTTCGCTAGGGTTTGTATCGTTTTATCCGTTCGCTAGGGCTTGTATCGTTTGATCCGTTCGGTAGTGAAATTCGTCGTCGATTTCTGTGGAAAGAAACCGAGGAGGATCCGATTCGATTGAATTCAGCCGATTTTTACTGTTCGATTGGGTGTAGAATGTGAATCTCCTCATCTCAAAATTCAAATTCATGCCCAATTCGATTCTCGATGTTCCATTTTTCTTGGGAAGTTGTAAAATCAGAGCCGTAATTCTGCGATGAAAGTGTCATTGTAGTTGTAGTTGTAATTAATATGTATGAATGACAGTTGTGTTTTGGTAATTAATTTGTCAAAGTTCTTAGATAGTTTTTCATGGCAGCTGGCATTAGCTACTAAGCAAAGATCACAAGGAATGAACAAGAAAGGATTATTTTTCTATTCCCATTTTTTGGCTGATTATATTACTTTTCAGCGACGCTAACACTTTTTTTAGCTCCATGCTTAATATTTTAAGAACTTTCATTTTCATCGTATTAAAAAAAAAAAAATTGTATAGGACAAAAATACTTTTATTCTACCAAAAAAATTGCAATATTTATAGATAACTTTTCGACTTAAATAGAATAATAATTCAGAATTTTTTTAAGGTAATTTGTCACACCATTCTAAGTCTCAATTTTTTTTTTTTTAATTTACCTTTGAGAAGAAATATTTTTTTTTAAGTGACGATAATGATATTTTATATTTTAATTTTAAGAAAATAATTTTTATTTTGAAAATAATAATTGAAAAAATACCAAAATTTATGCATTTTACAAACCTAAACATCGTTTTTCAAAAAATACTTTATGAAATAAGAAAATTAAATTATTTGTATTTTTTGTGTGTAAATATAGATATTCAGTATTTAGTTGATGAAATAAATAGTGAGTAAAATAGAAACATAGTTGAAGTATTTTAAGATTTAAATAGCAATAGACATAATCACATCCCAATTTAGAGGATTAGTTCATAATACAAATATTTTTTAGAAATAGAGTGAGACAAATTGAGGTGTGCTGGATGCCGGTTGCCGGTTGCCGGTTGCCGGTTGCCGGTTATGGAATTTTGTGTGTGGAGAAAAAGTCAAAGTGCAATGAACCAAGAAGCAAGTAGGAATCAAATCAATGGATGAAAAAGTGTGTAATTTTGTGAGAGTTTTATGTTTGTTTCCAAATTTCAAAGAAATCTTTTGTAATTTTGTTTCCATTATAATAATAATAATAAAAAACCCATTCATTCAAAGCTGTCTCCTTTGAATTTGAATTTATGCTACAATTTAATGAAAATTTGGATTTTTTTAAAGATTTATTTGCAATTTCATTTTAACTTAAGAAATGACAAATTTAATATTTCCCAAAAAATAAAGAAAAAAACAGATAAATGATGAACTTTGTAAAAAACAAAAAAAATTATTACCTTTGGTTCGAAATTACATATTCTGAATAAATTAAGTTTACATTTACATGTAGTTAATTTGTTTAAATAATGACGTTTTATAAAATAAATAATTGACTTAAGATATTGGTTTTTATAGTTAATTTTTTTTTATTACCCTTCTAAATTCACTATTGAAATTATATTTGCAGAAAATTCTATTTTTAAAATTACAAATAGTTGATAAAATTATAATACCCTATGTATATAGATTCTCATGTGACATTTTTTTAATTTCTTTTTTGAAATAGGCAAACATTTATTTATATGAACTTATAGAATAACATATCTTAGATATGCAATTACCATAACTTGAATCTCAATCAATTTGTTTTTGTTTATAATATATTTTAAAATTCATTTCAAAGGGAAATAACCATTTTTTAAACTACATTTCTAAAATTTCGTGTAGATTTTAAGATTAGAAAATTGATAACAAAATTGTTATAATTACATTAAATACCAAACAGTTAAGTTCTTATAATTATGAATGAAGCAATTCCCTTTAGATTTTTTTTTTCCTTTTCTATTTAATATGCTCAACGTGTGGAGCATTTTTATGAAATTATTGCAAAGATTTAATAAATTCTAATACTCTTAAATAAAGTGATATTTTATGTATTTGATAATAATAATAAAAAACAAATAAGATTATATTACGTAATGGATTTGCAAATAATTGAAAGATAAAATACATTTGGAATTTTATAATTAGAATACCATATAAACAATTCTTCATCATTTTCTTTTTAATATAGGAGAGTTTTCAAACTCATTAATTAGTTAGAGTATAGATATGAAAGAAACTTACAAGTTTAGCCTTAGTCGAATGGGTCGAATCTTGGGTCGTGCTCACTTGCCATCAACATCCCAGTACACAGACATGTTGGGCACATTACCTAAACAATCATACTAAGTCCTCAGCAAATATAACAAATTCAACCACATCATGCTAAGGCTTAGTTTCATATTATAAGTAAATTAAGATGAAACATTCTTTCCATCGTTCTAATTGTTGCATCGGATGTGTCCCACAAAAGAAATTATTCCATGAAGCCGACGTATAAACAAGGAGTGCCTCGAGTTTATATCAAATGGTTACAAGAAAACATGCCAATAATTTAAATATGTAGTACACTTATATCAAGTTGTACTAAAACAAATGACAAATGATCAAATTTGAATACAAAAAAATGAAAGAAGGCATAGGACAATAACAATAGTTTAAAAAATTATCCTGCCAAACAAGTTGGTATTCAAAAATAGAATTGTTTCTAAACACGACAGGGTAAGAGACCAATGATGCAAGATAATGGTAATTCCAAGTCCAACGACTCTTGAATTAATGAAGAATATAGAATTTTGTACCTTTCCTGCACCGGAACAATTGAGGCATCTTTGAGTTTTGGGCACCCGTAGAGGGCGGCTTGAAGAGGATGCAGACAGTGAGATGGGGTCAGCGCTTACACATACACCACTCGATGAACATCGGGCGCAGGCCAAGTAGCCTGTCCATATGATTATGAAGGGATGCTTAAAAACTATCAAAATATGAAATTCATAATCCCTAAACTTTCATTTGATTCCTAAAATTTAACAAATTTTGATAGGTTCGAGATACAAAATAGAAACTTTAGGAGTCTAGACATTTTTTTAAGTTCAAGAAGCAATTAAATACAAAATTGAGAGTATCAATTAGACACACCAAAGTTTAGGAACCAAATAACCGTAATTCTCAAAATTAGAAAATTAAACTTGTTTTTTAAATCGGGGATGTAGATCTTAAATTAAATTGAGATTGTGATTTTATCACTTCACGTGTGAGAATGGTGACATTCAATTCCACAAGTTCAAAACTAATAAATATAGAATCGCTTAAAATGAATACATACCAGTTCCATGACAATATTTGCACCTTTTTTTCTCTTGTTTGCCAACGTTGCTAGCTTCAACGAACATCAAGGCCGAAATGACACCTACAGCTCCACCAGAAAATGACGCCACAATGGGATCCACTTGACTGAAATTGAGATTTAAAAAGAGGGAAATTGAAGCAAACATTGAATTAGCTACAGAATTCACATTTAGAAAGAAGTTGCATTTCATGAAATACCTTAATTGCATAGGCAAATTCACGTTGCGGATGAAATCTTCGTACGAAGTTCCACCTAATCCCAATTTTAGCTCCAGCTGCCATGGGAGGGATTTTTTCACCAACACTTAGATGGACGGAACCATTAATAGACCAAGTACGAAATGTAGAAATTCATTGAGCATGATCGTCAAGACTTCAATAAGTTAGTTATGCTTTAATTGAAAAAAGGGGAATTCATCACTATGTTTCATAACCCATATCCTTCGTTATTTTCCTGAAAAGCAGTAAATATTAGATCTATTCCACCTAACTTGTAGTTCGCATGGTAAAGCATACAATATCTGATAACTATTCACTCTCAGATATGAAGTTCCATTAAAATTCTTTTCTATTATGCTTCATATTCTCATGAATCTAAAAGAAAGGCCATCATCGTTTGAGTTAGAGATTTCTATTATTCCCCAGCTCAATAAGTTATCCCATGAGGATAAATATTTGCTGACTCTGCTCTGTTAGAAACTCAAGCAACTAAAAGTACTAATCTCCATAGAATTCTAAAAGCATCCACAAAAATAATAATCAGAGTTCATAAATCATGCTGGTTTTTAAATTCAAGAAAAGCCTTTATGTTTTTTCTACTCAGTTTCATCTCTTCATTAAATTTTTGGGATGGAGTGGAGTGGCGGGATATGAAACTGCAGCCCACATATAAGGGTAATACACCAAACAACAAATCTACAACTACTCATAAGGGTGAAGAACGAGTCCGGGGGG